TTTTTATATTATATTTATGTTATGTATTATATTTATTTGTATATTTACAAAATATAAACATTTATTTGTTTTCTTTTGCTACAAATATAAAAAAACGTAGCCAGAATAAAAAAGGAAAAATATCTTTTATGCATATTATATCATAAGTTAGCTTTTGTTACAATATATCCCATTTTAAGCAAAAAAATAATTTGAAGATTTGTGTCTATAACCAAAACATATCAATATTATTTCATTATTAATAATTTAACAATTTCCTCATGTCATCATTAATGTCGTCAACACATCTACATTTTAATAATATAAAGAATATTAAGTTGATCGCAGATTTATTAAACATTATTCAATCATAAATCACAATCTATCAAAAGAGAATTATCTTGATACATAATATTTTGAGATTCCTTTTTTAAAATAACAAATTTGATAGCACAGTTGTCCCAACATACGGTTCCTTAAAATTTCCTCATAATCGATCATACATTTTCGATCGAATTTACTTAGACGACTGTGAAAGCTAATGCAAATAATACATATATTTTATTTTTATCTTTTTTTGCTTTAACACACAAACGATTACGATATTTTAAATTATTATCATATCTGCTATATGACAATGAAAATATCAAAATAGCAAATATCAATTTAATTTAATAATAGTATCATATATATTATCTATATAAAATTAAATAATCTATATTAAATTAAAATTAAATCAACTTTTTTCTTAATTCTATTAATGGTTATATCTATTTATGCAAAAACTTAGAACCATACCTGGAGGCAGCCGCAAAACGATTTCTTCACTCGTGATGGCATAGTCTGGCAGCGACCGACAAACTCTTTCAAAGGCTGTGAATTTTTCACAGGACAGCTTGGAATCCTCTGCAAACCATAAAATCCTTCTTATAGTAGTACTCAATATTACACAATGCGTATATATAACAAAAAATGTCAGTAAAAAGATCCTAAGGATTTACATAAATACGTAAAAATAACGTATTTATGTAAATTCTTTAGTACTAAAGTTGTTATAACGTTTATTATTATAACTAATAGTACTTTGTTGAGTTGCAACAAAAAGCTCATTAGAATAAATTTAAATATTTTTTATAGAAAAATATTTAATTTTATGTTATATGACGGAAGCAGTTAAAAAGAAAATGAATTTGAGAATTGGGTCGTAGAAATTTTACGCATCTTTATAACATGTAATATAATACAATATCACGTATAACATATGACGTATCAAAACGCTATTAGAAAACGAGAGTAAGTAGTAAAAATATAATAATAACATCGCATTAAACTCAATTTCGTAACAGTTGTTGCTTCATCTTCCGTTAGTTTTATAAATGGAACGTTCTGCTTCGTCGTTATATATAGTTACAATATAAGAATATTATGTATAAGGAGAACAGACATAACAAAAATTTTAAAAATATAGGTCTGATTTAATATTTTGTGCAGGAAAAAATGCAAGATTACTATCGTATATTATTTCACAAAACAATTATGTACATAATATACATATACAATTGTATGGAACAAACTAGAATATTTGAGATTGTCATGTAAATAAGATAACCATTTAATTTTCTATATATGTATATAGGGTGGCCTACGTAAAGTGTTCCAAGCCAATAACTAAAAATATTTGTCAAATCAAAAAATTGTTCCTGAGAAAGTTTCATGTATTCGAGGGGTCTCTTTAATAGTTCAAAAATTTAATAAAGTACAAAAAACAGAAAAATTATAAAGTCTTCCATTTAATTTATGGTTTTATCATTAGTTTAAATGCATTCTACTTTAAAGTTTAAATGCTTATAACTTTTGATAGAAGTATTTTTTAAAGAAATGTCTCAGATAAAATTTGCTTGTTTTTTCTCATAGAATCAAAATTTGTAACATTTTATAAGGGGTTTCATTTGAAATTATAAAGTTATTCCCTGCTTCCCTTGAAGGGGGAGCGGAAGCGACTTTATATTTACGTA